AATTTGGAGTTCGGTAGAATGCGCGGGAGTAAAACTGCGAAGCGTGTACCCCGAATTCGGAACTAAAGCCGATAAAGAGGGATACAACTTTATCCCCCAAGAAATTACGGAGAGGTAAATTTAAATCTTTTTAATCCGGCAGCAATTCAGCGACAATAATATAGACAAAGCCAAAGGTTGTGGCTCATGGTCGCTTGGATTGGCTACATGTCGAGTTTGCGAAGCTGTCCTCCATGATTTAAATCTCATTTTCCCGTTGTCGACATATGCGAAAGTAAATCGAATAATTTTCATTTACCATAGACCTTATAGCACGAAGGTAAATTAAAGGTAAGAGTATCCGTGGCTTCCCGGCGCCCAGAAAGACTGCGCATCAGTATGAATTGCGTTGGCACATTTATTATGTTTGTTGGCATTTACAAAGTCCACTTTCCCTTTATTCAGAAGCTGTTGTCCTAATCATTTTTCTATCGTTGAGAAACACCCTAGAGCCCAAAAGCCCATTTTAAAAATGTGCTAGATGCCAGATAGACATGAACGAATCTCGATAACCAAATGATCTTTTCAGGGCATGCAAGGGATCGACCGGGATATTTTTATCAGCCTCCCGTGCCTAGTTAACGCAAATGGGGTACGTGGAATTCTCTTTCAACAGCTCAGCGACGACGAAAAGGACCTCCTAACAGCCTCGGCGAAACAGATGGACGAGCTAATACAGAGCATCGAATGGTAAAAGATATATTTGCAAGAGAAAGTACATGTACTCTGAAACCAAATAAAAAATCATTTGGCTTTCGTCGATGTCTTTTTCCCCCTAAAAGAAAAAAATGAAAAACTTTAAACCGAGAAGAGAGCAAAAGCATTTAACTATTTAAAAAAGACCAAAGCGATATGAACAGTAGAAATATCTAAATTAAAAAAGTGAACAGAACCGCTTTACGACTCAATGTGCTCTCAAGCGGTCGCAAGTTCTAAACTTCAAGCACAAATTGTATCCTATAGCTACGAGAATATCCCAACCTGACGGTCGGCTCTGTCCGACCGTTTTTGAGTTAGGATTCCTCATCACAGCTTAACGACCGCCTGTCTACTCTGGTCCAGCTTGGACAGAACTACTCTGATGAGGAAGCCGCCTTTCAGTCATTCCAAGCTACTGGATGCAACGGAGACGAATTACTCCGATGTAAGAAGTTTTAAGTGCGTGGATAGATAATATTTAGTTAGTTGGCATTAGATAGTACGGTAGCTGTCGAGTAAATTCGGTAAATAGATTGTTTCTTAGGATACCGAAAACAGAGGGTATGTGGCTTCCCTGAGCACTGTTTCACAGTTATTCGCAAATGATTATAAGTAGCTGCCCATCACGCAAAAAATTATTGATTTATATGAATAGAACTACAGTTAAAAACTATAGGTAGTATCCAACGCAAATACTTAAGGGGGTTTTCGAAACACTTGACACATTTTACAAACTGGCATATTCCACTTAGAAACTTATAGCAGGGCGGAAGTAGAAAGGGAAAACCAGAGGAAAATCCTTTTGTACGCATTGATTTTGTCAGTTGGATTAAAATAGCTGTTTGAAAAGACATTAAACAAAAGGTGGTATATGACCGTACCTAGTACTAACTTACAGGCTACTTACTGATGTAACCTAGCCCAAGGGATCAGTTCTTTCTTATAACATCCGTCAACCTGTCCCAGGTTTCGAAGCTTGGGGTACTATTGTTGGGTCTCTGCTGGCGCAGGTGTTTGAACGAACTAGCCAGACGTATGCATTTTAAAAACACTCAGCAGGCATAATGTAAACGTTAATAACGACGTAGTTTGCACGAAGTTTAGTGCTGTATCGTCCAATTTGCCGCTATAGGTGAAGGGGACATGGCTCTTCTCCTAATTAAAAGTCTCTGAGCCAACCAGCATTTCGTTAGCTATCTTCAGGGAGGGACATCGGCCGACTGTAGCCTAATTGAAACAGTTTTCAGTGTTATATAGTAGAACACAGCGCAGAAGCTGAGAGTAAATTATGATTGAAATAAAAAACGAAGACGGGACCGGTTTTTGTCTTCGAGATGTGCCCCAAGTTCGACAGTTCATTGTCTTTAAGGCTCTGTCCCTCGACTATTTCAGCCTGGGTTTACCTTTCTTCTGGAACTTACGATATACCCCACGGTCAATTTCACCTGAAATTTGTATTTTTTGCCAATCCCCTGTATTGATCAGACCGTTTCGTGCATTATGGTCAACTAACGCTGAACGGTTTGTTGGGTGGCGCTGATGCTGCCTACACGAGTGTCCTGCGTCTAATGGTCAAAGGCCGAATTTAGATAAAAAGCAGCAACTTTTTGAAAGAGAATAATCACAACACAGTCGCAGTTAGACAGCTGGATCCAGTGTGTCAATTACGTCAGGTGAAACTTAAGGCCGGCTTCTCGCGGCCACCTAAAGTGGAATGATTATTTCCTTTAAAGTATGGCTCCAGTTCCAAACTTTTTGCGCATTAAGTCACTGGGATATATTTACAGTCTTTTAATAATTGAGTCAAGTTCCCGTTAGGGAAGCAGCCGTTACTAAGTAGGTAAGGTGGCCGGATCTAACTATCTTACTTATCATGCAGCTTTCTCAACGGCTGTCCGACATGTTGTTAATCAGGGTGGCGCACATCGTGTATTTATTGCCATTTCTAAGACAACAAACTGAATGTGTTGACTGTCAACCGTATCAATGTTTGTCGTCTGAAACTGTGGTGGGAGGGGGTTGCGGCTTGAGAGCTACATGCTGTTAGTCAGCTCTTTTGTGAGCTTTAACTCGTCTCTCTTTCTCTTACTTGTTGGAATCGCAACCGCCTCGACAGTTGGGACGGTGACGAAGAGGATGGCCTCCCATACCGACTGTCCTATAAATAATGGCGACTTTGGGCGTGTTTACGGTCTTCTAAAATGCACAATAGACCTGTCGTCCGAAACATCAGGTGGTAAAAAAGCCTCTCACTGACATCTAAGACGCTCTCCGCATTAAACTCACTCTTGCCTAAACTGTGTTAAGATAAAGCACTCATGCGCATGATGCTCTCTACACACAAAGGAAACATGTGTAAAGGGGGATATCCCTGCTCTCAAAGAGAGCTGGCAAAAATGAGGCACATAAAAGACCCCATATAGCCTGAAGTATGGGCAGCTTGGCGAATTTTCACCAGTGGACGTCACTGAAAACGAAGAACACTGCTACTCGACTTGTACGCGTGTTTGTTTATTTTAATGTTTACGTAGATAAAGGGTACTGTTTGGAACGCAAGCATGAACCGACTAGGCAAAAAAACGAGTAACGACAAAGATCGGGAATACTGGGATAATCATTTATAGCTTATTATTCGTCGTCAAGCAGCCATACCCAAATCCAGGTATTTTCAGAACGTGACATACGAAACCGGATTCTTAAGTTATTAAACGTTAAAAACTCAACGCATTGTCATTGAGACACGGGTCCGTCGTTCCGTTGATTATCACTGGGAATATTAATTAGGGTAGAATTAGATGTACCTATCATGATATGGGACATGGCCGTTTCATTAGGCCTTGGGGTTCAATCTAGAGCCTTTACAGGCTGTGACGCAGAAACTATGGTTAGATGCAAAAGGGGAAGACTGGCAAAGACCAGGGACACTTGGATGGTTATTTCCTGCTTATTGGCCGTTTTCGACTAGCCTGCAAATCGGACTTTGGGTAAGTCTGGCTGATTATGGCCTGTCTTTGTCGGTATCGCTGTGTGACTGCCTGATCTACTGATCGCCGTGTTACTGTTCATGGGGGCTTTAAATTTGAGCTCAAGTCAAATTCAGACGAGTATGTTGTAACCCGATCGGTGAACGCAATTCCAGCATAAGCCGACTATAGTTCGAAGGAACCTACGTGTCGATTGCCTTTCTCCTCTCCGCCAGCTGGTTGACGTCTTTGTTAGCCGTCTTCTGTGCATGGACCATTTTTCTGTACAAGTTCTTGTGCCTCTTGGGTAGCATGAGTTCTCGAAGTTTGCGCTGGGCATTCTCCTCTGCCTTCGCGGCCATTTTGAGAGAAAGGGCACTCTCAGTTCGGCCAGGGGTGATAACCGCCTTCTTACCTAAGCACAGAACATAAGCAGAAAGTGGTTAATTTGATTGACAAACAAATTATCTAAACTGGAGAGAAAAAATCCGAGACGAGAGGTGGATGGGATCTATTCAAACACTCTCCAGTCAGCCATATTCTTAACCCAGATGACTGGTACAGAATACATTTTCATAAGTCCATCCCTGATACTTACCTTTTGATCACGTTGGACCTGGTAGTGAGCCCTACCAGATTCGGAGCGTGTTTGATAAGAAGTCAAGCAGAGCAGTGTACGTCTGTTCTTTTACAAAAGTTAAGAACAAACGCCAATTTCGTGGGTAATTACTTCTTAGTAGACGCACCCGACAAACGCTGTGTAGAGCAATTAGTCTTCAACAATTTAAATAAGTTACTGTTGTCGAAAAGCATGGTTTTGCAGGTCGTCAGAAACCCCCAAACTTTTACATACTCATCGTATGGTCGAGACTGGGCAGTGGGACAAGCTGAACCCGGGATTTAGAGCACACAACATTGCAATCGTTATGGATTGCAGTAGACTGATTGCAATAGAGAAGATTACTAATCGCCGAGGCCTGGCAACCTTTATAGAGCCTCGTGCTATGGAATTTATAAATTTTGCCTTTCACATGCCGAACAAACGAACTTTAGAAAATTATACCTCATGAAGATTCTGCGCTAAGTCTTTCGGGCTTTTGATTGTGGTTGTGCTATGGCATACAACCGCAGAAGGCTAAAGCGGAGCACAGCGTCCACGATACAAACTTTTCCTAATTATTCAAAAAGGTCACAAATCAACATAAACCGGAATTCCGACTACTAAGCAGGTAATCCTTAGCTGTCAAGAGATGTGACACAGGGGTATATGGGACACCGAAAACAAAACAGATGGACGATTAAAACGCGCAGCTATCAGGGTGAGCAGGTCATGTCAGGAAGGAGAAAACACAACACCAGCATGCTAACCTTCGGCCAAGGCCTTCTGTGCACTCATTCTCTTTCGTTTCTTTGTCTTTTTAGCCGATGCGTTTTCATCCACATCCATCTCAGTCACCTTCTGCGCCTCCTCCTCTTCCTCCTGTCCTTCCGCGTTGCCGCCAGATTCATTTTGACTAGCAACAACTGCTGCACCTCGGATCTCAGCTAAACTAACCAGCCCAGCAAGGTAGTCAGCTT